ACTTTCTTTTGCATACTTGGGATATGTCGTGGCTCACTGCACACCACCCTGAGTCAATATGATGCATTCACGGGATTGTTTGGCACCTGAACTAGAATTAATTCTCGTACCTTCCGGCGTTTTAACAGAAAAATTGTTCGCATTTAGCCAAATTGGTGACATTGCGAAATTGTTTTGAGCACCAAAATCATCTTCTGGAATCGCTAAGATAACATGAGTTGCTTAACCTAAAAGGTAGCAAAAATCTTAGGGCGAGGAGGAGGATGAAGACAGCAGTGAAGCAGAGCTAAAAGAAGTGTCGGGACCGAGTAAAGATGTAATCACACCATTCGATTGGAGTGCCGCTTCTGCTCGTATTGATAAGATCCTCCCGACTGAAAGTGAGGAATCGCCACGTCTTCCGGGCATGACAACTGTTATCCTTAGCCAGGAGATATTGACTCCTAGGTAAGTTAAGTTGTTTTCTTTTTTCACTCCAATGGCTCCTATGGTAAAGAGGGCACAGAATATTGCTTTTCACGTTTTTTTTTAGGATGGAAACCACCGACACCTATCACAAAGACGCGAACTCTCTCCCCAAAGGCAGCATTGAGTCTGTGGTTGAGAAACCCGTAACTTCCTCTCTAAGGTGTGACACCGTTGTGGTTCACTTTCTTGCATAAATTAATTTCTAGATAATGCTATAATCCTACTTTTTTTTGAGGAGACTTCTCCAGATCTAAGATGAATCTCATTTTAAGTCCACGCTTTTGATGCGAATTTAGAGCGTAATAAAGACAAATGAAGCGCTGATAATGAAGTGCTGTAAAGGTGTGGATGCATTCCAGTTTCCTTTTGTTAAGTTAATACAAATGTTCTGGATTGCAATCCCATGCCTGTCGGTTGACAATGCTTGGATAAATTTGTAAACTTAAATTAATCTATGACAGCTTTTATAACACGTTTTCTGAGGTAGTTCCATTGCGTTGACTTGATGTCTGAGTCTCGACTTTATGTCCTGTAACATCAGCGCAATTGGAAAATGTCACTCCTGTTAACTGACGTTCGCCTTTTTTGCGTGTGATTAAACTTTAAACTTTAAAGTCATTTTATCTTTATGCGTAGCTCATGTGGAACGTAGATTTTGACTTTAGGAGTTGTGTTGTGTATTTCTTGGCTATTGTTAGGTTAGTTGACATCTAAAAAGTTAGGGAGTTATAAAACAATCTAAATGAGACGACATGAGATGATAAAGCCATTGTTTACAAACAATAGAGCCTTCCTTAGGCTTTCTATTGCACTGCTTCTGTGAGACGATTTACTATGACACGTCAGAAGTCGGTGGCGTCAAACCTTC